AGGGCAATGATAACTCAGACCCCAGAAACTGTAAGGGAAAATCAATAGAATCAATTGTTGAACATTTGAACATGATTTTCAATGACTCCATTATATTTCATTAAATTGATGGGCCATAATTTACTATCATTCACATGTTGTTGAATATCTGTGTAGTTTCCAATATATTCTTATTTTGAGTAATACTTTAATGAACATGTGTGTGTTGAGCGAAGATTTTCTTTGAAAGATCATTATGTACTGAAATCTGTGCTGTCACATTTTCGTTTGACATAAGTGGGTCATTGGCTTAGGTCTGGAAAACTTATTGTTACAAATGCCCTTCTAAAAATAAACTGTCATAAAGAACTAGAGATTTAGAGATTTGTATGGTTTCTTTTACCACTTGGTGCTCTCTTTGTCCTTCATAGTGTGAAGGTTGCAAAGGTTTTGTGGGCAATGTCTACAATTTTCTGAGTTACTGAAGTTAAAATAAGAATTACCTCCCTGGATCAAAATTTAGCCCAGTAGTCTCTAACAGGCATGAGGAGTCAACTAGTCCCCTACACATTTACCCTGACATGATTAGGAATTTGCCCCTCTCCTTAAATTTCTGGGTTTTCTTGATTGTGATAATTCTATTACATGAATTTTGTTAACCATTTTCTAGATCTGCTTTTTCATTTTGTATTTGCATTTAAAAATTATTTTTTAAAATGTCAATAGTTTTTTGGGTACAGATGGATTTGGTTCCATGGATGAATTCTTTGGTGGTGAATTCTGAGATTTTAGTGCACCCATCACTTGAGTAGTATACACTGTACTTAATATGTTTTCTTTTATCTCTCACCTCCTCATAGTCTCCCCACCCTTGAGTCCCCTAAGTCCATTATATCACTCTGCATTTTGTGTGTGTGTGTGTTTGTGTGTGTGTGTGTCCTTATAGCTTAACTCTCAGTTATAAGTAAGAACATACAGTATTTGGCTTTCTACTCCTGAGTTACTCCACTTAGAAAAATGGCTTCCAGCTCCATTCAAGTTGCTGTAAAAGGCATTATTTTATTCCTTTTTATGGCTGAGTAGTATTCCATGGTATATATATACAAGATTTTCTTTATCCACTTGTTGGTTTATGGGCACTTATTTTGGTTCCATATCCTTGCAACTGTGAACTGTGCTGCTGTAAACATGTGTGTGCATGTGTCTTTTTTACATAATGACTTCTTTTCCTGTGGATAGATATGCAGTAATGGGATTGCTGAATCAAATGGTAAATCTACCTTTAGTTCTTTAAGGAAATTCCATACTGTTTTCCATACTGGTTGTACTAATTTACTTTCCCACCAACTATGTAAAAATGTTTCCTTTTCACCACATCCATGCCAACATCTATTGTTTTTTGGCTTTTTAATTATGGCCATTCTTGTAGTAGTAAGGTGGTATCTCATTATGGTTTTAATTTGCATTTCTCTGATGATTAGTGTGTTGAGCATTTTTTCATATGTTTGTTGGCTATTTGTATATTTTCTGTTGAGAAATGTCTATGTATGTCCTTAGCCCACTTCTGATGGGATTGTTTGTATTTTTCTTCCTGGTTTGTTTGAGTTCCTTGTAAATTATGGACACTTGTCCTTTGTCAGATGCATAGTTTGCAAATACTTTCTCGTGTTCTTTGGGTTGTCTATTTACTCTGCTTATTTATTTTGCTAAGCAGAAGTTTTTTTTAGGTCCCATTTCTTTATTTTTGTTTTTGTTGCTTTGTTTTTGGGTCTTAGTCATGAATTCTTTGCCTAAATCAATGTCCAGAAGAGTTTTTCCAATATTTTCTTCTAGAATTTTTAGGGTTTCAGGTCTTAGATTTAAGTTTTTGCTCCATCTTGAGTTGATTTTTGTATTAAGTGAGAGATGAGGATCCAGTTTCATTCTTCTACATGTGGCTTGCCAGTTTTCCCAGAACCATTTATTGAACAGGATGTCCTTTCCCCAATTTATGTTTTTGTATGCTTTGTCAAAGATCAGTTGGGTGTGAAGTATTTGGCTTTATTTCTGGGTTCTCTATTCTATTCCATTGGTCTATGTGCCTATTTTTATGCCAGTACCATGCTGTTTTGGTGTCTATGACCTTAAAGGATAGTTTGAAGTCAGGTAATGAGATGTCTCCAGATTTATTCTTGCATAGTCTTGCTTTGGCTATGTGAGTTCTTTTTTATTCCACATGAATTTTAGGATTGTTTTTTCTAGTTCTGTGAGGAATCATGAATTGCATTGAATTTGTAGATTGCTTTTGGCAGTATGGTCATTTTCACAATATTAATTCTACCCATCCATGAGCATAGGATGTGTTTCCATTTGTTTGTGTCATCTATGATTTCTTTCAGCAGTGTTTTGTAGTTTTCCTTGTAGAGATCTTTCACATCTTTGGTTAAGTGTGTTCCTAGGAATTTTATTTTATTTTATTTTTTGCAGATGTTGTAAAAGGGATTCAGTTCTTGATTGGATTCTCAGCTTGGTCACTGTTGATTGATAGCAATGCTACTAATTTGTATACATTGATTTTGTAACCCAAGCCTTTAGTGAATTCATTTATCAGGTCTAGGAGCCTTTTGGATTAGTCTTTAGAGTATTCTAGCTACACGATCGTATCATCAGCAAACAGTGACAGTTTGACTTCCTCTTTTCCAACTTGCCCTTTATTTCTTTTCTTGTCAGATTGCTCTGACTAGGACTTCCAGGGCTATGTTGAATAGAAGGGTTGCATGTGGACATCCTTGTCTTTTTCCAGTTCTCAGGGGGGAATGCTTTCAACTTTTCCCTATTTAGTATGGTGTTGGCTGTGGGTTTGTCACAGATGCCTTTTATTACTTTGATGTAAGTCCCTTCTATTCCCTTTTGTTGAGGGCTTTCATCAGAAAGCAATGCTAGATTTTATCAAATACTTTTTCTGCATCTGTTGAGATGATAATATGATTTTTGTTTTTAATTCTGTTTATGTGATGTATCACATTTATTTACTTGCATATGTTAAACCATCCCTACATCCCTGGTATGAAATTCACTTGATCATGATGTATTATCTTATTGATGACTTGTTGGATTCAGTTACCTAGTATTTTGTTAAGAATGTTTGCATCTATGTTCATTAAGGATTTGGTGTATAGTTTTCATTTTTGTTATGTTCTTTCCTGGTTTTCATATTAGGATGATACTGCCTTCATAGAATGATTTAGGAGTAGCCCCTCTTTTTCTATCTTTTGGAATAGTTTTAGTAGGATCGGTACCAATTCTTTGAATATCTGGTAAAACTCAGGTGTGAATTCATCTGATTTTAGACTTTTTTTGTTGTCAATTTAAAAAATTACTGAGCATCTATTTTTAAAATCTGTATATCTCTTGGAATAATATGCTCCATAGTTACAAGTGGGCAACATAGACAACATAACTGAAGTGTCCTTAGCTATGTTTTTTTGTTGTTGTTGTTGGAAGTGAGGGTGTGGCTACTTAGGGTTTTTTTTTTTTTTTTTTAACCATCTAAAGCCAGATTTTATAGAAACTGAATTGGTTTTGAAGAACCAGAAGACCCAACAACCACTCCAGGTTTCCACAGAGAAATGAACCAGTGAGAGAAGAGGGAAGCTTTTCTAAAAATGTGAGATTTATGGAGGGTTGCTTGTGTATGTGGTTTATTTTCTTAAGTTAGAAAAATAGACAACGTGCTTTCAGAAATGAAAACTTCTGTTATGGTTACTATTAGAAAGAAATTTGATGGAACATTCTTCCTTGTTTGTTTCAGCTACCCAGGGACATTACCTGCAGCAGCCAAGTTGCCTGGAAAAGGATGCCAAGCATTGAAGACTTTCTGGGTGTGCCCCTCACTTCGAAAGGTGGAATGATTTATCAGTAGACACTGTGACAAAAATAATCCTAACAACTGGACTGTCAAGATTTGTAGCAGCTACTCACACCTCAATCCTCTTCTTTATTTTTTTTAATTTCATAGATTTTTTTTATTATACTTTAAGTTCTAGGGTACATGTGCACAATGTGCAAGTTTGTTACATACATATACATGTGCATGTTGGTGTGCTGCACCCATTAACTCATCATTTACATTAGGTATATCTCCTAATGCTATCCCTCCCCTCTCCCCCCACCCCATGATAGGCCCCAGTATGCGATGTTCCCCTTCCTGTGTTGAAGTGTTCTTACTGTTCAATTCCCACCTATGAGTGAGAATATGCGGTGTTTGGTTTTCTATCCTTGCGATAGTTTGCTCAGAATGATGGTTTCCAGCTGCATCCATGTTGCTACAAGGGACATGAACTCATCCTTTTTTTATGGCTGTATACTATTCCATGGTGTATATGTGCCACGTTTTCTTAATCCAGTCTATCATTGATGGACATTTGGGTTGGTTCCAAGTCTTTGCTATTGTAAATAGTGCCACAATAAACATAGGTGGGCATGTATCTTTATAGCAGCATGATTTATAATCCTTTGGTATATACTTAGTAATGGGATGGCTGGGTCAAATGGTATTTCTAGTTCTAGATCTTGAGGAATCGCCACACTGTCTTCCACAATGATTGAACTAGTTTACAGTCCCATCAACCATGTAAAAGTCTTCCTGTTTCTCCACATCCTCTCCAGCACCTGTTGTTTCCTTTTTAATGATTGCTGTTCTAACTGGTCACACCTCAATCTTCTAATAGCCCAATTATAAGGCATTTTAAAATATAGCTTCTGATAAAATCATTGGTCCAATCTATTCATTATAACTATATTTTTATAAGTAGAGTCTTCATGCATTCTAATAATATGCTGCATAACACTGACATCTTGTCTTAAGTCATATAAAATAAAACTTCCCAACTGCTTATTGCTATCTGTTAGACAAACGGGAGGGAAGGCCTCCTTTATGAATTTAAATCTTCTTAAGAAGTCTAGTAGAATTACTGTAAAAGTGATATCTAGGTTCCAGTTTAGACAGTAAAATCACACAAAGCAAAGGTGGCCATACTCACTCATTGGGGGTGCCCTTCTGGCCACAAAAGTGGCCCTGGCTGTCTGTAGGATAGGCTGCTCTTCTGGGGTCCCCATGTACCCAGGCTGCAGGAACAAGAAAGGACAAAAATGCTATCAGCAAAAGCCAGCTAAAGGCAGTTTGCTTTGAGATATTAGAATGCACCACTGCAACACACTAACCTCTCCCCTCAGTCACAGATTATTGATTTTCTTCAAAGAATAATTTCTTAATGAAAAGTAAAATAAAATATGGATGAATCAGTCAGAAAGCACATTTCTCTTATTCTCTCAGGATTCAGCTGGGTTGTAGCCAAAACATGAGGTAATGCACTTAGAAAATGACATTTATTAAAATGTGAATTAGAGGGCACATTATAAAAGCTCACTTGGCTAGAAGTCACTTTTTCTAGGGTTCAAAACTAAATGACTTCATAGCAGACCTAATACATTTACAGTAAATAATATGATGTAATACTTTTGGGTTATACATAAGTGAAAACCATTAAAAAATTCAAAGGAATGAAACTATAATGCCCAATTCAAATTTACTAGTTCTTTGTGATTTTGTGTGACATTATAAAGGCAAACAATAGCAACTGTGGAGGCAATATGTAATACTTACCCTAAGTTTTGTCTGACAATCTCAGAGCTTAATAGAAGTATCAAGTGACCTCAAACTTCATGAAAACAAAGGACTTGATTTTCTATGAAGACGATGGGCTCAAACACATCACCCTTATTTTTTAAGAATTATAAAATTAATTTGACAGACCATAGGACCACAGAGAGTAACATACATCGGTCAATTAGGAAACGCTTTCTAATTTTAGTCGAATATTTCTAACTTCTCCAGTTTGACTGATAACAGTTCCTAAAAATCCAGAAAATGTGCTCAGGTCATCTAATGCTTGCCTCTGAATATGGAAACATACCTCTTTGTCCTTTGTTTTCTTTAACATTTGCCCGGCTATCTCCTTCCCCACATTTATTGGATTTGACATTTCACATTATAATTCAATCACTCTTATGTATATGGCCTGTGTGACTTGGGAAGATTTTAAAAAATCAATTCTGAATGAGAATTTTAATATGGAAGAAAAATTTTTCTCAATAATTTTTCTCATTAATCTAAGACTTTCTTTTTAGTATCTAAGCACTCACAAAAGTCCCCTTTGTCTAATTCTTTCTCCAATGTCATAGAGGCCAAATTGGTTTCATCTTCTAATACCGTCTTATTAAATCTGACTCATTCGGGTAGCTCTCAGCTGCCATATCTTCCCGTCTCTATTTCCCAGAATAAAGAAAGTGGACTACAAATAAGGCATTTAAATAACAAACTGTTCAATGTATGATGCCTCCAGACCATATATCATTACATTCTATAATAATAGTATAATAATAGTATATACTATATAGGTGTGTTGCTTGCTTTCTATAGCCTGTGGTTTTCACCCTCAAACTAGAAATGAATAATGCTTTCTGCAAAAGGATAGAGCAGGAATGAGCTTGTTAACGGGGGAAAACAAGGACATTAGCTAAATAAGGATCAGCAAAATGCTCATAACATAGGAAAAGAGATGACAGGCAATTTTGGAGCTTTTGCCATTTGGGGAGACAAGCTTCATACTTGTGGCGGGGAAAGGGGGGGCATATCTGATTGGGATGGATCTGAGTGTCTGGGGATAAAGGAGAGGGAGATGAAGATGGAAGGGTCAAGAGAAGAATACTCCTTCTTGACTTTCTAGTTTTGAACTGTGGCAGGTGGTTGTGTTTACCGAGCTGCTGCTACATCTCTCCACACAGCTTCTGGCGCAGAAGTTGTGCTGCAGATGGTCTGTGTTTGAATTGGAACATAAAGACTTTGAGCTAAAAGCTACAAAAAAGGAAAAAAGGAGATGGGCAGCAGCTATCATTTTGTCCCTGTTAATAAATTAAGGAGCTTCTGACATTTTAATCCCTTTCTTGGAATTTTTTTATTCATGGAATATCCAAAACTATGCTATCCAATATGGTAGCCACTATCCATGTGTGTATTCAGCACTTGAAATGGCTTCTCCAAATTGGAACATACTGTAAATGAAAAATACACATCATATTTTAAAGACATTATAAACAACAACAAAGAAGAATATCTTAATTTTTATATTGGTCACATTTGAAATATTTTGTTATATTTAAGTAAATAAAATGTATTATTAAGTTATTATTAAATTTATTTTCACCTGTTTCCTTTTATGCTCTTAAATGTAGCTATCATAAAATTTAACCATACAAATGTAATTCACTTTATGTTTCTCCTGGACAGATCTGTTCTAGTGGAAAGAGCAGTGTCAAGGACTACTTATATAAGGTCCTTAAGAGGAGCTATAACATCACCAGTTTGTATGACAGTCATTCTCAAGTACATCATACCCAACACATCCCTTTTTATAATAGTTTACAATGCTCCTTGTACAGTCTTGAAGTAATAGTCACAGATAACATATTTCAGCCACACTCATAATTTCCTTTAAAAAGTAATAAAATATCCTATGTAATATAAATGAGAAATAATAAAAAGAAAGTAATTTATAATTAAACAGTATGCACATCAATATGCAAATGCTCAAATATGACCAAACTAGGAGAGATGTGAGAAGTCAAGTGCTCACACGTACAGGTGGAATCACTGTGAATGTAGCAGCTTTAAGTGTGGGAGGAAATACGTATATTGGATAGGAAAATCAAATACAAGTGGTGTTTTTAATTATATTATTTTCCTAAATGAACAAATTTTAGCAAATTCTAACAACAAAAATGTAGAATCTTCTTTCAAATTCCCTTGGTACTTATTAAAATCATGCAAAATAACTTTTGTTACTTTATTTTTATATTTTTATTGATATAGTTGTACATATCTTTGGGGTACATGTGATATTTTGATACATGTATACAATGTTTAAAGATCAAATCAGGGTAATTGGAATATCTATCACCTCAAACATTTTTCTTTGTGTTGGGAACACTACAATTCTTGTCTTCAAGCTATTTTGAAATATACAATAAATTATTGTTAACTACAGTTTCCCCACTGTACTGTCAGATACTAAAATTTATTCCTTTGAATGGTATATTTGTATTCATTAACCAACTTCTCTTCATCCCTCCCTCCCTCATCCCCTTTCCAGCCCCTGCCAACTACCATTCTACTCTGTACCTCCAAGAGATGCACTTTTTTAAGCGTTTGTAATTTTAGAACAGAATTTCTAAATTCAAATATGTGAAAACAGGTTTTCACCTACATCAGTGGGACATGGGAAAGTCAGGCAGAAAGTGAGGTGTAGGCATAAGCCACCTTGAAGGCACATCCTCCACCTTACTGAAGGCTTCAGTTGACTGCAGCTTTGGCTTACATCATGACCACAATGTAAAGAACCTGGAGCCAATACCACCTAACCAAGCCGTTCCTATATTCCTGACCATGGAAATTGTGAAATAAGAAATATTTGTTTTTTAAGTTGCCAAGTTTGAGGGTAATTTACAATGCAGCAATAGACAATGGATTATTATATAGTTTTTAAAAATCTTTTTTTTTAGTTCTTCAGAATTTATCTTATAGCTAACTTTTTTACCCTTTGGCTTATATATTGAATTAATGTATAGTATCCCCAACCAGTTTCCTTTACATACAACTTATAAAGTGTATGTTTGTATGTATGTATATATGTATGTATGTATGTATGTATTTTTATTTCAATAGGTTTTTGGGGAACTGGTGGTGTTTTATCACATGGATAAGTCCTTTAGTGGTGATTTCTGAGATTCTGGTGCACCTGAGCAGTATACATTCTATGCAATGTGTAGTATTTTATTTCTCAACCCCTTCCACTTTTTCCCTAGAGTCTTCGAAGTACATTGTATCATTTGTATGCCTTTGCATCTTCATAGCTTAGCTTCCATCTCTAGTGAGAACATATAACGTTTGGTTTTGCATTCCTGAGTTACTTCACTTTGAATGATGGTCTCCAATTTCATCCAGGTTGCTGCAAATATCATTATTTCATTTCTTGTTATGGTTGAGTAGTATTCCATGGTGTGTGTGTGTGTGTGTGTGTGTGTGTGTGTATACACCTTTTCTTTATTCACGCATTGATTGACGGGCATTTGGGCTAGTTCCATATGATATGGTCTGGCCTTGTGTCCCCACTAAAATCTCATCTTGAATTGTAATCCGAATTATAATCCTCACGTGTTGGAGGAGGGATCTTGTGGGAGGTGATTAGATCATGAGGGTGGTTCCACCATGCTGTTCTCATGATAGTTTTTGAGTTCTCATGAGATCTGATGGCTTTATATGGGACTTTTCCCCCCTTCACTATGCATGTCTCCTTCCTGCCTCCATATGAAGAAAGATTTGTTTGCTTCTCCTTCTGCCATGATTGTAAATTTCCTGAGACCTCCCCAGTCATGCTGAACTGTAAATCAATTAAACCTCTTTCCTTTATAAATTACACAGTCTTGGGTGTGTCTTTATTAGCAGCATGAGAACAGAATAATACAATAAATTGGTACCAGGAGTGTAGTGCTGCTTATAAAGATACCCAAAAATGTGGAAGTTACCTTGGAACTGTATAATAGGCAGAGGTTGGAACAGTTTGGAGGGCTCAGAAGAAGATAGGAAAATGTGAGACAGTTTGGAACTTCCTAAAGACTTGGAAGCCTCAGAAGACAGGTAGATGTGGGAAAGTTTGGAACAACTTAGAGACTTGTTGAATAGCTTTGACCAAAATGCTAATAGTGATATGACTAATTAAGTCCAGGCTGAGATGATCTCAGATGGAGATGAGGAACTTCTTGGGAACTGGAGCAAAAGTGACTCTTGCTATGCTTTAGCAAGGAGAATGGCAGCATTTTGCCCCTGCCCTGGAGATCTGTGGAACTTTGAATTTGAGAGAGATGATTTAGGGTATCTGGTAAAAGAAATTTCTAAGCACCAAAACATTCAAGAGGATGTGCAGCATAAATTTGCAGCCCAGCAATATGATAGAAAAGAAAAACCCATTTTCTGGGGAGAAATTCAAGCCTGCTGCAGAAATTTGCCTAAG